AACTTTCGCTCTACATCATGAAGTGCGAAACTACGCACGAACTTTCGTAACTTTGGACGCGAAACTTGCAGGGAACGCGAAATGAACTGTCGTAGGAAATTTCGTGAGATCGGGTCATGGCGTACGTGCACTTGGCCCGCGCAAACTACGAAAAACGGGTATTCAACCCGCACGCCCGCTCCAACCGCCAACAGTCCATCACAGCCACCTACCGGAAGCATGAGGCCGAGAAAAGGCGCGCGTACGAAGAACGCGTCCGGGAAGTTGAACACGCGTCTTTTTCTCCCATTGTGTTCAGCGCTTCCGGCGGCTACGGCAAGTCCGCCTCCGCTTTTTTCAAGCGTGTCGCCTCTATGCTCGCCGACAAGAGAAAGGAGCCCTTCTCCTCACTTCTTGCCTTTATTAGGTCAAGGGTTTCCTTTTCTCTTGTTCGTGCCTCCAATGCCAGCCTCCGTGGTCACCGCAGGCCACGGTCTCAAGATGCCCGCCAGAGAGTCATTGACTCTGATGCTTCTGTGGTCCTTGCTGCTGCAGAGTGCTTTCGGTAACTATCCGTGGTGTGTTTGGCTACTGTTCTGCTTCAGTACCCCCCCCCCCACTTTTTCATGATTTTGCATGTTATCGTTTTCTCGGATTCCGGTTTTCCACTCTGTTATGTTCGAATCCAAAGTCTGTTTAGTCTGTACACGATGTACGCAACTTCTCATTGTTTTTTTTTGTTTTTTTGTTTTTTTACCAGGCGTGGGCCATCCCCTGATCATAGGTGCCAAAGACTACATTTCAGATCATGCAAAAAAAAAAAAAAAAAAAAAAAAAAAACTACGAAAAATGTGCAGAACGCAAAGTTCGTGCAAAAATTCGTACACACTTTCGCATGGACTGTCGCGAAACTTCGTTCGAATTTTCGTTTTGCAGAACCTCTCTAGAGCTCTACTGAACCTTTCTTTAGCAACATGACGGCAACTTAAACAGCAACAGAGAAAGTATGATACATGTACTGCACATTCTTGCAGGTACTACAGGTACTACAAACAGATTGCAGATCGTAATTCTTGCTTTGGCGGCACGAAATTTTAATTGGGGCAGTGCATTCTCGGCGGTGCTCACAAATCAAACAGCCCAGACTCGAGTAAACAAATCCAATCATACAAGTACGAGATTTTCACGAGACTGCACCCATTGGCTTGTTTCGTATTAAGCAAACAAGTTACTGAACCTATCCACAATGGAGATTTTCCCTGATATGCGAATTATTTATTTGGCAAACTCGGTCAATGAGTTCTTGAACCTTTCCCTCCAGATTGGGAACTGCCAACGATAGTATGCCACTGACCAGTGCCTTACTTGTAACGTACTAATGTGCAATGAATATGAGTATTTCGACAACACATCTAACATAAGCCTTACCGTCAAGAAGGTGAACTCGCGTTCTTCGCACACTGTAGGCAAGGGCAAAGAGATAAAAATGGATCTAAATCCGAATAAAATCAGCACACGTTTCCGTAAATGAAAGGGTGAGCATAAGCAAATGAATCGAAGGAAACTGGTCAACTCATTGATCACCTGTCATTGAGTATTCCGTAAAAGGAGGCCTCGGCAGCGGAAAGCTAAATTTAGAAAGGAGATCCTGTCAGCTTTTCCATTATTTATTGCATTCCGCCCAAAATCAGCACACTTTTCGTAAATGAAAGAGTCAACACAAGCAAATGAATCAAAGGGAACTGGTCAACTCACCTGTCGACATGTCATTGAGTAATATTCCGCGAAAGGAGGTCTCAACAGCGCCGAAACGAAATAAGCCAGGCCAGGAGACGAAATATCCGAAACAGCTCATGCAAGAAGCAGTTCCAAAGAAGGAAGTTCATCCGAAAACGGAAAAGGCAACAACAAAAAGTCTGCAATGCACACGCATCCAGGCGAAGCGCCAGCACCCCAAATCAAGACTTTTTTATTTTCCGTGGCGGGAAATCGAGCTTTTCCAGGTATCTACAGCCTGTAGAAATTCAACGCTGAGAATTTCCAACTATTGTCCGGCTTTGGCCCTCTGCCACCGACCTATCCTTTGAAGGAGAATGCTGAAACCAGTTGGTTGCTCTTCAGTAGTTCTTTCTCTATCGTACACATATTTTTGTATGTCGACACATGCTGTGTGCGACGACGTAGACACTTCTCAACACTTGAGTGACTTGAATTTGGCCATGATGACCGAATGTCATTGGACCGTGGAGTCGAGTAGAGGGCTCAGGCTCGATCGGCACAACGGGTACGTATAGCACAAGGGTAGGGCTAATGATATATCAAGTTGTTTGCTGTGCACAACCTTGGGGCGGAATTCGGCACGAAATTCTCTGCTCGCCAACTGTTGAGTATACCATGCAATACGTAGGTTTAAACTCATGTTGCAGTGCTATCACGGTTGCAACCCTCTTTCAAATGTTGACATAGCCAACAACCACATAATCCATATCAAATCTTGCCCCTTGTTTTCTTTCTAAGTGTGAAAAATAGAAATAATACCAGTCCTAATCATTGGAAAATGCAAATCACGGTCTATTATCGACACATCGTACTGTCGCGGACATGGAAATCCAGTCGATTGACCGGGGCCGGCACCCTCAGCACGTACAGAACGTTGCATGCAGTGCACATGTTGATCCAATGCGACCATCAGCAGCGCATGATAAACCGTGCTACGGCTACATGGCCAGCGCCCTGGGGCCGCTATACGTGCGACCGGATTTCCTTGTCCACGACAGTAGTACCATGCAGCCTGGTAGTGCATTTGGAGCAGGAAAGTGAATGGTAGCACTGCGTTGGTGAACACATGAGCTGATGATAACCATGGTCGTCTTGTTGGTTTGTGTTGTCTCCAGTTCATTGCAGGTTGAACGAGGAATGAACGTCTACTCTTTCTTTCCAAAACTGGCTGGGCGCACGCCAATGAGACGGAAGCTAGTGCCAAACCAGTCCTTGGAAGTTTTGTTGTGCTGCTGGACTTTCAATCATCATGTAAAGTATATTCCGGTTTCTGAGTCTTCGTGTGCGCCTGAAGAGCTACACTGTGTAGAGATGTTGGAAGTTTATCCTGCTCACGACACTGCACCAAGTACAAGCACTTCCTCGGCACTGCCTGAGCCCTGTTCTGTGTTTACTGTGACCAGGAGAAGCAACTAGAAATTTGGAGCTTGAGCTGGAACGCTGGTGCTCTCTCTCTCTCTCTCTCTCTCTCTCTCTCTCTCTCTCTCTCTCTCTCTCTCTCTATCTCTCTCCCTCTCTCTCTCTCTCTCTCTCTCTCTCTCTCTCTCTCTCTCTCTCTCTCTCTCTCTCTCTCTCTCTCTCTCTCTCTCTCTCCGTCACGTTCTGCCACTGTCTGAAGCCGGTGCATGTGCTAGCATGTCGAAGCGCATTGTGTCTGAGTCAATCACTCACTCTCCTGCTCCTCCCTCATATGCCCAAGACAGTATGACCAACTGTGAATACAGTTCGCGCCCACATGTGAACTTGTGTGGTTCTCTTGTAGTAAGCTGCCACGTGTGTACTTGCACGTGTTGTGTACATGTGTGTGTGTGTGTGTGTGTGCGTGTGTATCTATGGGACTGCGTTCTACTATTCTCTCTCCGGTGCCTTCGAGGCCCACGCAACCCTTGTGGCAGTGGCTCGACAGCACAGGGCAGGAGTGTGCGCGCGTGCATGTGTATATGTGGGTGTGTGTGCGCGCGCGCGCGCGTGTGCATGCGCATGTGGGTGTGCGCGCGTGCATGCAGATCAGCAGCTGCAGATGTGTGTGTGGGTGTGTGCGCACGCTGATGCTCAGCTCTCCAGAATGATGTCCGTGTGCGTAGCCAGTGTATGGTGGCAACATAGCCTTCCTTCATGTATATGTGTATGCGCATACTATTTGGGATGCTTTCCTGTTTTTGGTGGGATCCAGTTCCATAGTTTTCTGTTCAATTATTTATGTTTATACAGCTGCTGTATGCATGTATTTGTAGTGCAACTTTCTGTCTTTCCGCTGGTCAATTTGTCGTCTTGATGGTGTTCTAATACTGATATACATAGTAAATATTACCCTCAGAAAGTGTGCTCGTTGTGAAGTTGTCCTTCTTTGGGCTCAAACCATCGTGTATAGGTAGATACATATCAGTGGGTTCGATTGGTGGCGAGAGGTCAGCCTAAATTGTTTGGGGCGGAATTCGGCACGAAATCCACGCTGAGTACTTTTTGACGACGAGTTGCGTCGGTCTTGAAAACTCTGGCGAGAAAGCGAGGAAATTGATGTCGCTTGGAGCTTTCCGCGAAACTTAGGGCAGCTAATGCCCGCACCTTCCCAAACATTGCCTCGGAACAAGACGATACCACCAGGGAAGCTCTTGTGAGCAAGGGATAAAATAGTCTCTTTTTGGCGATATTGAGCTGAGTTTCAAATTTCCCGGGCCTGGGGTCGGATTTGGAAAATAAAAGTGCAACTTTTAGGGCTCTTTTTCGGTGCTGGCGCTTCGCCTGCATCCGATGGTACGTAGGAGCCATGGAGTAGCTCCCTGGTCCAGGACCAGGTACCGAGCATCTTACGTAGAAACTTACGTAGCTACGTAGACAACGTGTTTGAATAGCGGTGTCGTTAGGTAGCGCCATGTGAACACAATAATAGAAAAGCTGACAGGATCGCTTTTCTAAATCATGTACGTTGTAGTAGTAGTACTGAGTGTCTCGGCCAGACGCCCAGAGCGACAAATTTTATCGCTGTTGCAGGCATTTAGAAAAGCGATCCTGTCAGCTTTTGTATTATTGTGTTCACATGGCGCTACCTAACGACACCGCTATTCAGACACTTTGTCTACGTAGCTACGTAAGTTTCTACGTAAGATGCTCGGTACCTGGTCCTGGACCAGCAGGGAGCTACATGGCTCCAACTATCGCGCGGCCGGCTGGCCGCATGCGTGTGCATTGCAGACTTTTTGTTGTTGCCTTTTCGCATGTGCATGCACGAGGAACTTCCTTCTTTGGAACTGCTTCTTGCATGAGCTGTTTCGGATATTTCGTCTTCTGGCCTGGCTTATTTCGTTTCGGCGCTGCTGAGACCTCCTTTCGCGGAATATTACTCAATGACAGGTGAGTTGACCAGTTCCCTTTGATTCATTTGCTTGTGTTGACTCTTTCATTTACGAAAAGTGTGCTGATTTTGGGCGGAATGCAATAAATAATGGAAAAGCTGACAGGATCTCCTTTCTAAATTTAGCTTTTCCGCTGCCTAGGCCTCCTTTTACGGAATACTCAATGACAGGTGATCTCTGAGTTGACCAGTTTCCTTCGATTCATTTGCTTATGCTCACCCTTTCATTTACGGAAACGTGTGCTGATTTCTCTTTGCCCTTGCCTACAGTGTGCGAAGAACGCGAGTTCACCTTCTTGACGGTAAGGCTTATGTTAGATGTGTTGTCGAAATACTCATATTCATTGCACATTAGTACGTTACAAGTAAGGCACTGGCCAGTGGCATACTATCGTTGGCAGTTCCCAATCTGGAGGGAAAGGTTCAAGGACTCATTGACCGAGTTTGCCAAAAAAATTCGCATATCAGGGAAAATCTCCATTGTGGAGAGGTTCAGTAACTTGTTTGCTTCATACGAAACAAGCCAATGGGTGCAGTCTCGTCTCGTGAAAATCTCGTACTTGTAGGATTGGATTTGTTTACTCGAGTCTGGGCTGTTTGATTTGTGAGTACCGCCGAGATTGCATTGCCCCAAATAAAGTTTCGTGCCTCCAAAGCAAGAATTACGATCTGCAATCTGTTTGTAGTACCTGCAAGAATGTGCAGTACATGTATCGTACTTTCTCTGTTGCTGTTTCAGTTGCCGTCATGTTGCTAAAGAAAGGTTCAGTAGTGACTCTTTTGTTTCATACGAGACGAGTCAATGAGTCCGTGTGGCTTAGAATCTTTCGCTGCAGAAGAAATCTATTCGCATGTCTATTGGAGAAACGAGAGAGCTTGGAAGCTCAGGGCCCTACGCTATGCTTTTTTGCTTGCTTATCATGCATGTAACGTGTCAAAGCTGTGATGGCCCTGGCTAGCGTTCTGGAGTCGAAGTTATTATCTGTCCTGACGTTTCCTGTGACCGGTAGGCATATGCGGATAATTCCGGCAGAAAAATTGGCAGAATTCGGTACTTTTTCGTGTAAGTTTCATGCATGTTTGGTATGTGGATAAAGAAATGGAGCAAAATTCGAGGAATTGCCCGCCATAAGGTTTGTATGGTTCTGCCAATTTCACTGCTTTTCGAGCAGAATCTGCCACCTTTTCGAGCATTATCCGCACACCCCTAGTGACCGGCGCTGACTCTGCCGATCACGGATGTTCTGGAGTCGACGGGATCTCTCTTCCGACGTTTACTGTGACCGGCGCGGACTCGCCCGTTCAGGATTATTTTGGGGATGACGGGATCTCTCTTACAAAGTATGTTTTTGCTGACGCATCCTGTCTTTTCTTCGGCAACTAAAGTCCATTCTAATAGCATTTCCTCGTCTCCCTACTTCGTGTTTCTTTCCAGAAAATCTCCCTATACAGCAGGGAGTCGTTTACATAATACGAATCCCTGCTATACATCTATATACGTTATAGTTATTATGCTATCGGCCTACATGCGAATCCCGGGCTGGTCGACAGGCGGCCCAGCCAGCCTGCCAGTGGGATCTCGGCCTCGCACACAAATCCACACAAGATGCTACTGCACTATCGGCCTGAATGCATTCCCCCATACACTTCGTATATATACTCATTCTCTTGATGGTACCGTACTCTTGATGGTACGGGACAGGTATGGGATAGCGCCGGGCATGCTGATGGCACAAACAAACAAATAATATTGTGGCCAGCTTTCTGTGCTGGTACGGTACGGTACGGGACAGATACGGGATACCGCCAAGTGTGACACAAACAAACAAACAAACACCAAATTAAAGCTGTGTGGACCCTGGCTAGCGCCAGACGTTACTGAAGTAACGTCTTCTGCATAGCTACGGGAATAATTGTATTCACTGGTTATAAAATTGGCTAAGACAAACTCACAGAATAAATACCATCGGTCCCTTGGTGTTCGTCCTAAAGAGGTTCGACTGGATATCATTCATACTCACCAAAAGATGTGTAAGATTTTATTATCATGGAGTGCCTTGTTTATCTCTCAGTATCAGTACCTCCAACCATAGCCTTGACCCTTTTATCCTCATGATCAGTGTAGTTGTTGGAACGAGGTGTCGGACTCAGCAATGTATTTGTTTACATTTTAATACATGTTTATTGTTCCTCCTTTGCTGTGTTGTTTTAGAAAATCGTGGACTAACAGTTTGAAGTCATTGAACTACTTCCAAAAGTTGTATCGACATCAACAGGATTACGATTTCAGTGCAATATGATGCTGGATGATCTTATCACGATAACCCATGATTATAAACCATTATAAACACAGAATCAACAAAAACATCTGCGACACGCACCTGGCGCATGGCTACATTTCTCAAATAAATCTGATCGAGGGTGGGGAAATCTGAAATATCTGAAAGGCAAGACAAAGAGTCATGAAATTCTGCAACATTAACAATTGAACATGCACAGAATGACCTCCGTATAAAAAAGTATCACCACCACTACTCACATGTTTCCCCGCAGAAGAACATGCATTATGTTAGTGCCATTTTCTGCAAGAAAAGGCTTGCACATCAATGCGTATAATACGGTATTGATATGATCAAGAGTCAGGGTGCGTTTGGTTGTTACGATCTAGAACAGGATCGAACAGCTGGTGCACACGGAGCAGCCTCATGCCAACCAAACGGTACTCCAGAAACAGAGCATATTTTTGTGAAAAATATGCCAAACTTGGTGCATTCTTCAAAATGTGTATGGGTCACCATGGTCACTGTGTACGGTACGACGAGTCCAACCCAAAAGCGTATGCACGTGATCATTTGGGACCAAAATCGATATTCCCGCCAGGTTTCACTGTGAAAAAGTGAAACTGCTCGGTCTGCTCTGGCCTCGAGGCCGGAGCAAGCAGAACATGTTCTGGCCGACCCAGAACAGGTGCAGTCCCAACCAAACGCGCTGTTCTGTTGAATCCTGTTCTAGTTCGTACCAACCAAACGCGCCCTTAATAAACCTCTTGATATGATGTGAAGGCCATCATTTACATATTGATATAGGGCATTCCATTGATTGGTGACAGAAAAAAACAAAAGAAATTATAGCAATAAAAACTGCTTTATGGCAGTTTTCTAAAAAAAGTTATTGTGTTCTAGTCCATGGACCCCGTCTAAAAAGTAAGAAATTAACGAAATGTGATTCTATTAAAATTTCACACAAAACCTCACAATAATCACACACAGAATTAAAAGCTACATGTAGAAGACCTTTTCCCCTCGTGATCCTCTTTCCTATGCATGCATGTTGCCAATTGTTGGTGCAGTACAAGTTAAAGTTGAAAGCAGCATTTCAAGTGTTGTGATTATTGTGAGGTTTTGTGTGAAATTTTAATTTTCAGCAATCACATTTCGTTAATTTCTTACTTTTTAGACGGGGTCCATGGACTAGAACACAATAACTTTTTTTAGAAAACTGCCATAAAGCAGTTTTTATTGCTATAATTTAGTTTGCCGACCCCTCGATGTTTCTCCAAGCGCTGCCACTTGTTCCACGAAGTCATTTTCACCCCAGCTAAGGTAAAACAGTGATGGGGCTTGAGTGAATGGCCATAAGCACGAGAAATGTGCAGGCTGCAACGCCTGACTGATCTCAGCGAGTCGAAATTACCAGCGCAGCGACATCAGCGAAGAAATTGCGTCTAGTTCAAAAATTCCAGCTTCCAATAACAGAAAATAGAACTTTGCCGTCACCCTATACTGATGACTATCGCCTATGTCCGATTCCTTGCCTCTGGTACGATAGCTGGTGAGTAAATACCGCGTTTTATACCAAAAGTCAAACTGCGACAATTTCGATGACGCGGAGGAAGTATTACATATCAAGACTCGGTGGAAACACCGGCCAATGTTAAAGAAAGTGGGTGATTGCCAACCACGGTGATAAATAAAAGTAAGGGGAGGGAAAAAGAAAGAGTAGCATAATGAACAGCAACAACAACTCCGTAAAAAAAGATATGATGTGAAGGCCATCATTTACATAAGGGCATTCCATTGATTGGTGACAGAAAAAACAAAAGAAATTATAACAATAAAAACTGCTTTATGGCAGCTTTCTAAAAAAAGTTATTGTGTTCTAGTCCTGGGTCTGGCCTAGGCTATAGAAAATTTATAAATTGCTTCCAAACTGCCTTAGACTCCGTCTAAAAAGTAAGAAATTAACGAAATGTGATTGCCGAAAATTAAAATTTCACACAAAACCTCACAATAATCACACACAGGATGAAAAGCTAGAAGATCTTTCCCCTCGTGATCTTCTTTCCCCTGCATGCATGTTTGTGCAGTACAAGTACAAGTACAGTGTCAGACTTAACAAGTGTTGAAAGCAGTATTTGATTGTCAAGTATTGTGATTATTGTGAGGTTTTGTGTGAAATTTTAATTTTCGGCTATCACATAACGTTAATTAATTTCTTACTTTTTAGACGGAGTCTAAGGGTGCGTTCCATAATTCTCTAGCTTCTAGGAGAAGAAGAAAAGAGAAGTCGAAGAAACTGGGATTCTTCAAGAACGGGTCTCGAAGAATTCGGGGATATTTTGCAGATGTCAAGCAAAATGAAGCGCCAAAATGGCCGCGATCTTGAGTGCCACGAATATAGTATGCGACGTGCGTATGCGAAAAGGCAAATGCGTACACTCATGATGAACACGTGGCTTTTAGCCTAGTTTGCATGCGCTGATCCCAAACCGCGGGAATCTCCAAGTTTCAACCACCTCTGAAGCTTGGAGAGCTTTGGAGAGCCTCCTAAAATTCGGAGAGGATATAAGACCAGCTCTCGAACTTTTCGGAGAGTCTCCAACTTTTCCGAGAGGATTTAAGAACGCACCCTAAGGCAGTTTGGAAGCAATTTATAAATAGGCCAGACCCAGGACTAGAACACAATAACTTTTTTTAGAAAGCTGCCATAAAGCAGTTTTTATTGCTATAATGGCACTTGTTGTTGTTGTTGTTGTTGTGTGAGTGCGTGTGTGTGTGTGTGTGTGTGTGTGTGTGTGTATGTGTTTGTGTGTGTGTGTGTGTGTGTGTGTTTGTTTTCTTTCCTTTTCTTTTCAGCTGTCTTGTCCTGATCATGCCTCATGCGTGTTGCACAGCATAGTACGTTTCCGCTCCTATTCCTTCTTCAACACACGCTAGCTGTATTACTTTGTTCTTGCCCGTACAAGAGGCTTTTGTAGGTTTAGAATCAAGGGTTTTCGTAGGGTACCGGGTAAGTACTTTTTCATGTACAGTACAATATAGTACAGGACTGCATGCGGCAAGTAGGACTCGCCTATCCGCCCCCCCCCCCCCCCCAAAGCGTCGAGGAGGTAGGGGCGCTCTGGCCTAGCCTGTTGGCGGGATTTTACGGTAATTGTAGTTTTGTCAACAAAACCGCATGCACACTATCCTTCGTTTGTACGTAGTGCGAACGTATTTGACACACATGCTGTGAGTTTTCGTAACCCCCAAAACTGGCAAAAGTGTGCAACTCTACATATGGGGTCTCTTTGTGCGTATCACTCATTTTGTCTATCGTACAGACTTTCAACTGAGCCTGAACTCGACCCGGGTTGAAATTTCTCATGTAACCAAATTTGCAAAGCCTAAGGCTGTGTTTACATGAGAAATTTCAACCCGGGTCGAGTTCAGCCCGGGTTGAAAGTCTGTACGATAGACAAAAGAGGTGAGTGTTTACATGAAGACAGTTGACCCGGGTCAAATACTTATATGCCGCCAAAAGTCCACTTCTACAGTCCTGTATGGTCACGTGAATCCGTTCGCGCGAAATTTGCATCTGCAGTGCCGTTCAAACCTGGCGCGAGATACGCACAGAAGTACGTTTGTACGATTTTCTTGACCCGGGTTGATTTCAACCCTCCCCTTGGGGGGAGGGTTGAAATCAACCCGGGGCGAAATTTCAACCCGGGTCAAGCGCAATGCGTCATGTGAACGCGCCATTCATTTTGTGCACATGGCGGGTTGAAATCTGACCCGGGTCGAACTCAACCCGGGTTGAAACGCTTCATGTAAACACAGCCTAACAGTATAGCATTAGTGCATGAACCCGGTACATGTAGTCCCGCACAGTTCTTCTTTCACAGTCATCAGTACCATTGCCAAGAGAAGGAGCACTTTGGCCCTGCTTTTCCGAAAAGCACTACTAGTACTTGTATTTCTCTGTACGACCAATCGGCATTTCGCAACAGAAGGAGGGCTGTCGAGAGAGGGAACCCAAGTTCCTATGTGACATAATATCTTTGGATCTCACAGGCTGTTTGCAACGAAGACATCATGAACGTTTCAAACTTGTGTGTAAGTACTCAATATTTCTATAGCTGTTAGTTTTCTTTGTTGTCACTTGTAGACAACTACTGTGTTATCAAGAACATAATATTACTATGATAAGGGGTCGTCCGTATTATTTGAAAAATTAAAAAATCCGTCCTTATGCAGAAAGGCCAAGGGGTGGTCAAGAGCAGGGAGTAGTACAATACCATATATTGCGCTGGCGGAATTTAATTTTTCGATTTTTCGTACTTTTTTTTTTCGTCAGTGACTTTCATACACTTGTTGCACTGACATGTAGTGCACTGTAGACGTAGTGTAGGATCGCAAACACCAGTATGATATACCGGTACATGACTCTTTTGTAGTTGTAGGACGTGCATGGCCGTCGGTAGACCTACTCACTTTACTTAGCTACTAGTACTTGACATTCATGTACATGCAGGTGCAATCAGTGAACATGGGGTCAGGACTCAGGAGTTCTTACTTTCGAGCCGGGCATCGGTAAAAATCAAAAAAATAATGGAAAAAATGGGAGGTGGGTGAGTGGGTAAGAGAGAACTTTGCACGAGGACGGATTTTTTAATTTTTCGATAATTACGGACGACCCCTAAGAGCAAATCGGCATGCCCTTTAACTTAATACAGTTGTGGCAAGTGAAATCCAACACTTAGCATAATGGACTGCACCATGCAGTCTTCAGCCCCTGCAGCCCTCCATACAGACAGTACGAGGTCATTTGCTATTTTTGGTCACTCTAAATAGCACCCCATGATGTTGGTTTGTAAGATAACTTAAAACCCTTTCTTGATTTCTACTGGCACACTTATGCTTTACCACCACCCCACACACCTGAAGGCATAGAGTTGAAGCATGTGGTCACAACTTGACCTGATTCATGCATTGCCCTGCTCTAGAAATGGTTCATGAATCCGCCCAGCCCACATTCCTTCTCCGTTTCTCTCCGATTTTCTTTCCTTTCAG